GATATGCTACTCACTTCAGGCACAGACTCCATGCCCATCGAGTTGCATTTGTGATCAGCCAACACACTGTAAAACTGAGAAACTTGTGCTCGATCGCCTCCAAGAAGTAGAAATTAGTGAATTATCAGGAACTGAACATGAACGTGATTTTGTGCAACGGTCTTTTCATCAATCGATCATGAAAGCAAGGCCAAGGGGTTGTGCCAGATGTTACGAAGCTTGTCCACATTGGAACTATGTATCAAATTTTATGTGCACCGCTGCTTGGTGGGGAAAGTTCTGTATGTTCCTAGAGATTAAAACACTGATTTGTCAATTCTCTTCGCAAGCTTCTGGTTTGTGTGGTCCTGTTGTGCTCAGGAGTCAGGAGTGGTGACGAATTCATGTTGTGAGAATATGTCGATGCTGTTGAGACTGTCTTTCTAGGATGCGTGTTTATCTCTGTAACCTGTATGAAACTATGGATTCTAATTAATTTGCTAAAATAGTAGTTGCTTACCCTGATTTCTAATAGCATTTGTTAGGTGGGGCGCATTGCTGTTTATTAGTTGAATGGTGATTTCTGCTGAATTTTTGTTATTGTAATGGTATATGGGGCTGTAAGTTCATTCTTTTGATATCATTGTAAAGGTATGGCTCTTTCGTGATTTGAACCTTGCACCGGTAAGGTTTCCACAACACTATGTATGATCTAAACAATGGGCAAAAATATTTATTGGAGCATTTGTTTCAAACAAATGATTTTTATAGTAAGATATTTCTAATATTTAGGTGTGCGTGATGTATTTTAGATAGTACTGCAATATTGTGTGCCCGATTGTTATTGAGATTAACAAAATATCTAAAATTATAGTGAAAATGTACAATCTCCAATAACACAGTGGATATTAATATTTATATTTGTTAAGACGTGCGTTGCATGTGCCGCTTACTAGTTTTGTGAAAGGAACTCCTTACGACGGTTTCCACACATTTCCGGGCAGAAAATTCTCGGCGCTCCTCAAGTCAAATAAGTTACACGTACGTACGCTCCATCCACAGCCGTGTACCGAGCCGCTGATGACCGAGGGTTGCGAGTGACCAAGACCAATATATGGCAGCAGCAAGTGGCATCGACGATCGATCACTGGAATGGACAAGCTGGCAGACCCTACGCCTACGTTGCGTACGTATCCGGAGGAAGGAGAAAGCGAGAGGCAGCAGCAGCAAAGTGGCGGCTATCACAGGTTCACGGTGTACAATAATTCTACTGGAAAGGGGATGGAACCCTGACCTGACAGAGTAAAAATATTGTTTTGCACATTGCTTTCGTGCGTGCGTGTCATGTTTGGTGCGGTCATCCACTCGAGGAAACGAAAGAAATGGCGCGCGGTGCGGTGCGGTGCGGCGGTCAGGTCCGTCATGCCCCGGCCTCCCGCCTTACCGTGTATTACGTGCGGTGCGGATCACTTGAACGTACTTTTGACTCGCGGTGCGCCCATGCTTGATGCTTCGTCCCCGTTTCCTCCCTCGGAACAGTCAGAGCTGCATGGCATGCGACGGTCGTACCTGCCCCATGGAACTCCCTGCCGGTCCGTTTCATTAACCGGCCGGCGGCTATAAATACGGGCGCACGCCGGTGCGCCTAACCACAGTTCACAACTCAACACAGAGCCACAGAAGAGCAGCATCAAGAGACGAGCGGAGCAGATAAGGCAGCGACCTCCCAGGCTAACACCTGTAAAGAGAATCTTTGGTTCAGCAGCTCTCCTGTACGTGCCTAGCTGAAGCTCGAGGGCACCGGCCGGTAGGAGGACACCAGCATGTCGCCCGTGCACGTCCCGGAGCTCAGCAGCGGCGGGTCGGGGTCGGGGTCGCTCACCCTGAACCCCGTGCAACGCGCGCTCACCCGGCTGTCGTCGTCGTCGGCCCTGACGCCCAGGTCGCCCCCGCCGTCCTACGGGAGCATCGTCACCGTGCTCAGCATCGACGGCGGCGGCGTCCGCGGCATCATCCCTGGAACCATCCTCGCCTTCCTCGAAGAGAAGCTCCAGGTGAGCAATTAGCTTTTGCTCCCGTTGCACCCATGGTAGTTACTGCAGGTGCACCAGTTCTAATGGCTTTCTTGCTATTTTCTGTAGGAGCTCGATGGGCCGGACGTGAGGATCGCCGACTACTTCGACGTGATCGCCGGGACGAGCACCGGGGGCCTGGTGACGGCCATGCTCACGGCGCCCGACGCCAAAGGACGCCCGCTCTTCGCCGCCAAGGACATCAACAACTTCTACCTGGAGCACTGCCCAAAGATCTTCCCTGCCGTCTACGGCGGGCCCCTGGGCTTGCTCAGGAGCATGAGGGGGCCTAAGTACGACGGCCAGTACCTCCACTCCGTCGTGAAAGAGCTCCTTGGCGAGATGCGGGTCGGCGAGGCGCTGCAGAACATAGTCATCCCCACCTTCGACATCAAGCTGCTCCAGCCCACCATCTTCTCCAGATACGACGTACGTGCATCATCATACATATGCATGGGCTCGTCGATTAGATGTTATTTCTCCATGCTCATGCTTACGTGAGACGTGAATGTACAGGCCCGGAACGACGTCTCCAAGAACGCTCTTCTGTCCGACGTCTGCATCAGCACGTCGGCGGCACCTACTTACCTCCCCGGCCACCACTTCGAGACCAAGGACAAGGATGGCAAGCCCCGGGCTTTCAATCTCATCGACGGAGGCGTTGCCGCAAACAATCCGGTGAGTGATAGATAACTGGTTTATGTCTCAGTCCCTTAAAAAACACTCCAAAGAATATAATGGAATTCTCATGACGTCCATCTACTACTGTGCTCTAATTTGATATATGTTGACATTGGATACATGCAGACAATGTTGGCCATGACGGACGTGAGCAAGCAGATCCTGCTGGGCAACCAGGACTTCTTCCCGATCAAGCCGGCCGACTACGGCAAGTTCATGGTGCTCTCCCTCGGCACCGGCTCCGCCAAGGTGGAGGAGAAGTTCGACGCCGCCGCGTGCAGCAAGTGGGGGGTCCTCGGGTGGCTCTACAACCACGGCACCACGCCGCTCATCGACAGCTTCAGCCAGGCCAGCGCCGACCTCGTCGACATCCAGGCGTCCGTGCTCTTCCAGGCGCTGCGCTGCGAGAAGCGCTACCTCCGCATCCAGGACGACGAGCTCAAGGGCGACACCTCCTCCGTCGACGTGTCCACGCCGGAGAACCTCAACAGGCTCGTCCAGGTCGGCAAGGCGCTGCTCAAGAGGAGCGTGTGCAGGGTGAACGTCGAGACGGGCAAGACCGTGCCCGACCACAATAGAGGCACCAACGAGGAGGAGCTAGTCAGTTTCGCACGGATGCTCTCACAGGAGCGCAAGGCCAGGTTGCAGAAGAAGGGAGTCAACGTCCCACAGTAAATAACATTGGGTGGTTAATAGTAGCATGTAGCTAAACTCATATTATTACGTGCAAGGCAAATATAGGATAAGTCAATAGATGGTCGAACCACGGTAGGCTAGAAATATTGAACTGCCAAAGCTCAGACTCACATAGGTCTGGAAACAAGTTGTATAAGTGGGAGAATGAAATAAATAGCCAACTATTTATTGTGGGCACAACATGAAATTTATCAGCCTATATTGGATCCTAGAAAATACACATTGGCTCCCGCGTCACTCTGCGGGGCGACATCTGAAACCCAGCCGTTCCTGTCCACCGCCGAAGAGAGCTGACATGCAATCACTGCGATACTGCAAAATTTGGCATTCGTCATTTTAAGAATATAACCCTTGTGTGTGACAAACATGCATAGGTAGTCATCATTGTAGGAGTAATCCTTGTATATAAGGAACTCATTAGGCGGAAATTCAATTTGGCTCCCGGGCCCAAATATTTTTTCAAATGTCAAAAAAATCAAGACAAATTTTTTATGTGATTTTAGTCACACCAAATGCTACATGCAAATTTTAAGGCAAAAAGGTTAAGCACTTTGGCCTGTGCACAAAATAAAATTTGAAGACCAAATGTCACCTAAATTTGTTTTTTCTTTTCCCAGACGAAACACTACCACTCCATTTCGCATAAATTTGTCAAGCGTTTTTTCTTTTCACAGACGAAACACTACCACTCCATTTCGCATAAATTTGTCAAGTATGCTTGCGACGCTAACATCTACAACAAATATTCAGATTTTTTTTTGATTTTTTGTTACCCACTCGGTATGTTTGCTGTACCAAGATGTACCAATAACAATAAGTTGAAGGATGGGAGATAGGGTGGACGAGGATCAAGACGCGGTAAGGGCGAGGCAGCTAGAGTTCAGTGGGAGGAGAGCATGTTTCTAGTTTTATATGTTGGGCAGTGTCAGCGCATGGTAAACCGAGAAAAATCGGTTATATGAACCAAAAAAAAGGGAGAGGGGAGCACGTACGTGGGAGCAGACGAAAGAGATAAGCAGAATAAACATATGTGGGAGGACAGACGAAGACACAGGCGAAAGAAAATTTACACAAGATGAAACATTTTCATCTTTTTAAGGTAGTATATACACTATTTTCTTATAACAACGAGGACATTTCTTCTAAAAAAACAAGGAAAATTTTCAACAAAAAAATAAACTCAAGTCTTGTCATGAATATGAACCAGGCCATTTCATACAGAAGAAAATAAGAACTAACATGTATTCCTTCACCAACTCATTCTAAAAGTGATGAAACCTACAACCGTAATCTTGTTTTGGATAACCAAACATGGAGCATTGTTCCCATTCAATTTCGGGTCCCTATAATGTATATCCTGTCTGCATTTGTGCACACGAATGTGCCTAAAAGCATAAACTCTTCATAGGAGTGCAAAATCGGTGATATCTCTCAAAGCAATCATCATGATTCGATGGATTGACGAGAGAAAATATAGTTGAGCGGAGATGGGAGACAAACATATGGAGCATACAGCTATTTTAAGTATGGCATAACAGGTTCAGTGGCTCCATTCTTTTGGGTTGGTTCCTGTTAGACTTCCTCCACCTGTAAACACAATTTTCACAATTCATCATTCATTCACCAGTAATGGTTATAAAACTCACTGAAAAGTATATACTAGTTTTTTTAGCTGGAAATGTAGGATAGTTGCAAAAGTAAGCAAACAGATGTTCAACACTATGGCTGCAAATGGTAATTGCTGGAAAATCCACATTGGTATTATCAGTCTAACTATCTAAACTTTACTACAAGCACCGTTTCAAAATGTATGGCCAATTTTATCAACAAGATTAGCGATTATACAAGGATCGGTCTAAAGTATAGATTGCATTGAATATGGTCCAAATAAATAGAGAATATTATATTTTTGGTCCCTCAAGTATCCCATTATTTCCGAAATAAAAGACCATGCAATTTTTAGTCTGTTTCTAGAGAGGAGGCCTACTTAAGTATCATCAGGACAAGTTTGCATAACACTTCCGAAATGGTAGCAAAAGATGTATGTTTGTGAGAGAAAACAGTTAATTAGGAAGAACTGGATCAAACATGAGGTTGAATGTCCGACCTGTGGAAGATTCATTAACTCCATAACAGCTCTCTTCGGAGTTAGTTCATTATCAATTATTCGTGCAACTGCTGTCAGGACTGGCAGTTTGACGTTGTACTTCTGAGCTAATGCAATGACAGCGCCAGCAGTTGACACACCTTCAGCAACCTGAAGTGACAGACAATATACTACTTACTAACCATACAGGTGATATCTCGAACCAATAGAGGGGAGTGTAACAAACCTGATTCATTGAATTCAAGATCTCATCAAGTTTCTCGCCTGAACCAAGACGCAATCCCACATTTCTGTTCCGTGAAAGATTTACAAAACATGTAAGCATGATATCACCTGAGCCAGATAAACCAGAAAGGGTTGTTGGCTTTGCTCCCATCTGCAAATTAATAAGTTGATCCTTTAAAACAGTAGTTTTTGGTTTCATAGATAATACAGTCCAGAAGATAAACTACTACTGCACACCTTTGTCGCCAACCACCGAATTTCAGAACAGCCTTGAGCAACAAGGGCAGCCATACAATTATTTCCAAGATGCATACCTTCAACTATACCTGCTGCTATTGCAAGAACATTCTTAAGTGCGCCTGCAATTTCTACCCCTGTAACGTCACTGAAGCATCACAGTTCACATTTAAATATTTTTTGTAATATTTGAATGCATCGCTATGAATCGATGCAAAACCCTAACAGTATATCTCATAATTCATCTTGCCGGTCTGAAATCTTAAAACAAGCATAATAAAATTAGATAAGATAGCTTTATCTGGAGAAGAAATTTTTCAGTGTGCCACATCATCTGAAGATACTACTCAAAACCCAGTGTGCTATATCAGCTGAAGCTACTGCTCAAAATCCACCACTACGATGCATAGTAGCCAATGGATTGAAATCCAAAGCGGTCGGGCTACATGGCACTCCAACACACAGCAGCTTCATTTTCTTTTTGTGAATACGGAAGAGATCTTCATATCATTCCATTCCAAGAAGGAAAAGTTTACACTGCCGTCTTACGGCTCTACAAACATAGCAGATTCTTGAACACATTTGCAAGAAAACACAAGCAACTGCTCTAGAAAAATTCAAAAGCCTACTCTCTAACTACATGAAGCAAAGCAAGTATACATCTGACGAACCACACTCAGAAAGGAGTTGCTCTAGGCTGGACAGACACAGGTTAATCGAATATACCTCTGGTCGACCATTAGCTACTGGCTTCGCTATCGTGGGCGTCTATTGTGAACCTTGATTCACAACGGGATAACTACGGTGCTGAAGATAGCCAGATGGCATGGCTGTGAGCGATTGGGCAGACATAGGTTTAGATGAGAGAATAAGTTGGGGAAATAGATTGATTGTTCTTGCTTTCCTCAACCCTAGATACGTACTATGTTTATGCAGTAGAGCTTAGGCCTTACTAACACAACTGGACTCCTTAGACCTATGCTAATATGAACTCCTTAGGGCAACTCCAACGCGGATCACCGAAATGGACCTTTGTGGGTGGTTCACGACACATATAGGGCTTTTTCTTCCTTATTAGTTATTTGTATAGTCCTTCCTTCTCCCAATATGTCGTATGGTGGTAACCCTTCTCTTGAGGTGGTAAGAGATCTTCTGGTGTCCTTGGGGTGTCTTGGGCTTTTGGGGTCAGTCTTGGCGTCGAAGGGAGGCAGGCCGATACGTGAACTGACTTATCACTCCCACTCATAAGGGACAAGGATCAAGAGCGCCACTTCAACAATTCTGCGGTTATGGGAGATTTGTGCTCTCTAGGTCCTAACTGCGGGATCACATGGTCGTATACTCGTATTGTATCCCTTAAAGATAGGTACCAAACTAACCGGGCGAGGACTACCGATATAAGGGAAGTACTGACCCCCGCCAAGGGGAGGGAGATACACGGGACAACATACCCTTAACCTAGCCCAGTAGATAGGGAAGCTCTATTATAATCAGTTGTGTTCATCAATAAAGATGGGTAGGCAGGACTAAATCTGATTATTAGTCCAGCTGGGCCGGGGGCCAGGCTTGCAAAAGCCCAACCTTCAAACTGCAAGCCCAAGCCCGGCCCGAACGACACTTCTCGTCACCTCCACGTGTAAGCCCGGCTTGAAGCTTGAAAGACCAGCCCGAAATCATGAAAAACAGAAGCCTGAGCCCAGCCTGAACTGCCTTTATGGCTAGAAAATGAAGCCCAAGCCCAGCCCTAATGCAAAGCCTGACCTGACCTGGCCTGGGTTTTTCGGGCCAGGTTGTCCATGCCCAGGTCTAGGCAGGACGTAGAGCTATTACCCATCTGGGGGTTGAACCTGGGTAAAACCACTGTGTCAGCATCATCGCCGACGAGATCCCTTTGGGCACCACCCCTCTTTACATTTGTTCCACGACTACCTTCAGATCGTAAGATCGACGGACTATTATCCGTCACACAACCTTAGATACATGGTATGCTTATTACTACTCCCTCCGTCCCATAATGTAAGACATTTTTGCAAGCTATATTAGGTTGTAAAAACGTCTTGCATTATGGGACGGAGTAGTAGATGCTTAAGCCTTCCTAATCAATCGGATTCCTTAGACCTATACTAATATGAACTCTCATCTTGACACCTAGCCTATGGAATCTGGAGGCCGACTCCTTCTCTCTGTTTGGGCTCCCTCCTGGTAGTCCACAACACTTTCCTACATGAATAACTAAATCAATTGTCCACAGGTGGGCAATATAGATCCCCTTATGCAAAAGAAATCTCAGTTGTTCATAGTAAGTTCCTATTATTTAATTATGCAGTAGCAACTAGTTTTGTGGCTAAGACAATACTGCGCAACCAAACAAACAATAATCGTGGTTATGACATGCATGCTTTTGTACACGTTTTGTGGCTGAAGATTAAGCGTCTAAAGGTGAAGTATTAGTTATAACTACCTTGATGTGCTTATCCTCAAATTTGAAGACGCTAAGAGCTGTTGAACAGCACTTGCCAGCTTTCTGTCTTTGGATGCCACCACCATAGCTGCAATATTAAGTTGGATAACTGTATAGCTGTATTTACAAACAGATTCCAGAAAGTGCTTGGAAAGCCAAAAATTCTTCAACATAGCAACATGAACCAGACAACTTAGTGTCACAGGAAAGCACAAGAGAATATGACATAAAACTTAACAATAGGAGAAATGATCTTAACTAACCTGTTGGTAGTTTCTCCATCAGTTCTACTGCAAAAGAAGGTCCTGACAGAACAATAAATGGTTGGCGAGGATTTCCCAGTGCAAGAGGAATGATTTGAGACATTGTCCGAAGGGTGTTAAGTTCCAGCCCTTTGCTAAGTGATATGAATGGCAACTTTGGATCAACATATGTTGAAATACTCTCAAGAAAGGATGAACTGAACTGCCAGGAAAAATATCAGACTCCAAAAAAGAAGAAACCCTCCTGGAAACCACAGTGCTTCATAAAGAACTGTTAATACCTGAACAGGGACAGCGTGGAAGCAGAAATTAGCTCCTGCTAAAGCTTCACTAGCACTAGTTGTTGCAACAATATTTTCTGGCAAGCTGTATTCTGACAAGTATTTGCTGCAGTGGAGTGAAAGCAGCATGTTACATACAAAGTTTGGATGGCTGTGTGCATCAATCAATCGAATGGTTTGCAATATTCTCCTTACGAAACTAGCCTCATCATAACAATCATCGAGAAAACACGACTAAAACAGACCCTCTTGGTGAGTTAGTGTTAGGCAGATAGTAAGGAGAGCAACGAGGTTACCCACGAGTTGACATGGCGGTCGTTGATGGAGCGGCAGACGAGGTCATCCCGGAGCAGCATGGCCACCTCAAGGTCGGGCTTCTTGGCTGCCACCTGCGCCGCCATCGCCGTTCCGAACGAGCCCCCTCCGAGGACCACCACCTGCAGTTTCCTCCGACGATCAGATCCCATCCCACAAATAAGTTTGCGGCGCCATGGGTTGAAGCAAACAAGAGTCTTTCCGTCACCTTGCGCGTGGTCTCGAGGACGTCGCTGCGGTTGCGGCTGCGCCAGGAGCGAGACCACCGGACGAGCTTCTCCCACGCGATCCGCACCACGCGGCGGCGGTCCTTCCGGCCGCCGCGTGGGGCCTCTCCCTCGTCCGTCTCGGCATCTGGCGGCGGCGCGTCGGAGGCGGCGGCGCAGATGGGTAAGCCACGGTGGCGAGCGGTGGGGGTGCGAGGGCGAAAGATTGGGGCGGGGGGAAGGAAGGCGGCGGTGGCCATGAGAGCGAGCAGTAAAGTGGGAAAATGGAAGAATGGGAGGTACAGCATTTTGCTATCTTATCCGTTCCCGCCCCTTTCTCGGTTTCTCGTTTGTCGCTCTGCTTCATCTCAAAACGCCCGCACGCATGCATCTCGACCAGCTTTTGCGTATTTAAATACTCCCTCCAAATACTTGTCTTTTTTTTAGCATCAGTACAGACACAAGCGTTCATATACATGCGCATACACTCACCCCTATGAACGCACGCACGCACACCCTACCCCTATGAGCACCTTCGAAAGACTGAGCCGGCATATCATCTTGAAATTTACGAAGTCACCGTAGGCGCCTCGTCGTCGACAGGAACGTCTCCTCCCACTGAAAGCGCATCGCCGGAAATCCTGAAATAAATTTAAAAATAATGCGAGCACCAGGATTTGAACCCTGGTGGGTTGGAGATACCACTGTCCACCCAACTCAACCACAGGTTACTTGTCCTGAAAATAGATATAAATGGATGTATTTGGAACTAAAGTACATCTAGATACATCCATTCTTGGGACAAGTATTTCCGGACGAAGGGAGTATATTAAACCAACTCCAGTCCTTTTACCAATTAACATCTTAGAATATTTCACAAAACCATTATCGCCTAGCTTTCGATTTTTTGGAAATATATTGGCAGATGAGTTAGTTGTTGTTATACTTATTTCGTTAGTCTCCTTAGTAATCCCTATACTGGTCATGTTTCTTGGATTATTTACAATCAATATTCAAGCTCTTATTTTTGCAACACTAGTAAGCGTGCACGTGCAACGCACATCTCTCAAATATAACACTTGCCTTTTGAAATCTATTTATTTTTTATTGAGTTGATTTTTATTTAGTTTCTTTCCACCTAAATAAGGTATCATGGGCCTAACTGCTAAAAAAATGGCATGTTTCTTGCAGAAAAAATTGATAGCAAAAGCGTGGAAATTGAGTTGGGCTGCATGTTTGTGGTAGAATCGGTACAATTGATGGATGACTATTTGGATCTGGATGTGGCAGTAATTATGAAGTGTAAGCAATTTGCGATGGACTTCACCAAAATATGCTTTAAGCATTGCTTCCGCGAAGCAAACCAAGTTGCTGATTCTCTAGCCATTTTTTTTAGTAGCCGATCTTCTAATTGTTGAAAGATTCGATCCCAGACTTTGTTTCTCGTCTCCTTATAAATGATATGACCATTATATGAAAAATATAGTCTATTACCCATCAAAGAAATGTACGATTCACACAAGCTACCATTTTTTAAATCGACAAAGCATGAAACTATATTATTATTATTAGTTTCCAAAAAAAATACAATTCAATCCCAATTTGAAGCAACAATTAAAAAACAAAATATTAAGAAACACTATACCTATTTGTTCTCTGATAAAGGTCCACCTATTTATGCGTTGGCATAGATATTGTTTGTTGCTTCACTGTTAGTGAACTTCAAAATTTGTACCAAAACCGCTTACGTGGTTCCATGATAGTAACTTACATTTCTATAGCTTCCTAATCAGACATACATTATTGAATAAAAAATTATGCAATTGTCTTTAATAATTTTAAATTAAAATTTAATTGCCAATGAACTCTTTATATTATCATAACCTTTAAAGCACGCTTTAACGGCCTGACTTGATTAATAAAAAGACGGAGAGACCCGTGGCCACACACACCACTGACACTCTCATCTTCCTCCCTATCTCTCTCTCTCTCTCACACGGACAAAGTACAAGCTGCGCCTCCGCCTTCCCACTGCCTCCCGTCGCTGGCGCAGGGACCCTCCCCCTCCCTTGCTGCGCGCTGCTTTGGCAGGGACCACCCCTCCCCTGCCTCCCAGTCCCCACCGCTGCTGAGACGCCGCCCTTCCCTTGCATCTCCACCTCCATCGATGGATGGAGGCGCACACTTCGGCTCCACCAGATCCTCGGTTGCGGACTCGACGCGAGCGATGGAGGGCTCTGCAGCGCCTAACTCCTCCTCCTGCGGGAAAAGACGCGGAATCGGAGCGAGCGCTGATGAGCGCCAGCGAGGACGCGCTGCTCCGGTGGGTTGGGCGTATCGCGAGCCTCACCGTGTGGCCAAGTACGACGTGCTCCAGAGTGGAGTGGTCGACGCCCTCCCCACCTCGCCCGTGTCTGGTATTTCGTCATCCGCCCTCTATTCGGTTCAGCTCTGTTCCGCTGTGTGCGCCTTGACGCCGCCGCCCTAGCCACAGCCCCACACCTCGCGCCACGGCCGCCACAATCCCATGGCTTGGCATAAGTGTGATCTAATAATTCAGAAATGTTTTTCTGTAATCAATTGCTCATGCAATTCTATAGGCTGTGGAAACTGCTCTTTTACACTGGTACAATTGCAGTGTTAAGCTGTAACTTATTTGTAGTTTATTCACAATGAGTACATAATATCTCTATATAATGCCACACCAAAAAGGCATATTTGATTAGTCTTGTTTGGTCGAACATTCTCACATGTAATTCTGGATGCTCTAGCTGATCTGTGTTCTCATTTATAACAAGATGCATTGTTGTATATCTGAACAGCAGGTTTAGTTCTGACAGAAAAAGCAATAGGGCAGGTACAACATGAAGTTAGGTTCTAGTGTTTTATATACAGTGCGGGTACATCTTCCTTGCTTAGTCTAATTGTGATTGTCAAGTATCCTTGATTGCTGATTTTTTTTTGTGAAATCTTCTTGTGCATATCTGAAGGGAAGCAAGCTTGGATTCACTGAATGATGTGTACACACCAAGTGCGCCTCGGTTTCATAATAGCAAGCAACCCCATTCTGAGGTATGTTCTCTTCGCTTGCAGCCTTTTTAAGAGTTTGATCTCCTCTGATGGTGATGCTTGATAAGTGGTCTTTATTGATGTGCTGTCTCAGAAAAGCGCTTTCTCCAGTGATTGATAATTGTAGCTCTATATGCTTGTGTTGCTAACATTAGAAGCAACTGGACAACCATTTGGTTCATAAACTCAAACCATTGAACTTTAAAACATCACCTTCCGCATCTGGTGTGTATCATACAAGAAAACTTCGGCAAACCAACATTTACTTATTTAAACAGAAATTCACCTTGTTAAGCACAGAAGTGGCACTTGGGAGTATGCATTTGAGAAACATGCATGCATAGTACCCAATACCAATTGGCAGGCCAACATATAAGAACAAATTTTGTTTAATTGTGTTGCAGATATTTAGAGAAGCATGTATTGATTTTTATTGGCACAAAATGATTTGTCGTAGATTGTCATAGAGGTCCTTTCATTCAAATGGCCTAAAAGTAACATAAAAATTTGGTAATCCATTGGCACAAATGGACTGCATATAGTACTCTCAAGTCTGCAATACAATACCAATTGGCAGGCCAATATTCATAGAAGCATGTACTGAACTTAGGTTGTCGAAATTCAGAGAAGCATGTACTGGATTTAGCAAGTAGAAATTCAGAGAAGCATGAGTGAAAGAGCCGAGTCTACCTTTTCCTGGATGTTGTCTACCTTTTCTGCTCAGGGTCTTGTTGATCCAGAACTTGTTGACTATCTGACTTTCATGCTACAAAAGATAGGCATCTCCTAAATTATGTTGCTAATTCTTTCGTTTACCCAAGTTGGATGTCAGTCCTCCCAATTATGCGCTTACTTATATAACAGAACATATCATTAGAGAAATGATCAGTGTCATGCATTCAGTTTAATGCAAAGCACATAAACTCTATATTATAGGCCATTTTATTTATTTCACTCGGTATATTAGGAAATAGGAGCACAATTGTAGTCATGTTATTTTTGTACTCTTTGTATTTCTGAATTTTGACCCAAATCTACCATGAGGAATCTGCCCATGAACATTGAATGATGTCCATCATTTTGGTCATTATTAATTTTGTTTTCGCAAGTGCAGGTTCTTCTGATCATGGCACTCTTAATAATTGAAGGGGAGAGTTGGTGTTCATGAAACCAGATTGCTTTGCTTGCTACAGAGTATGAGCCACCAAGATTTGTTTCCCGTGAGGCGTGAGCTGGCTTCCTACGCCCAGACGGTGGCTTGATGTTAAGGTAAAGAAAAATCTGATCAAAGTTAGTACCTGATCCAAGTTCGTTGGCTTGTGGTGAGGGCCTCAATGTGGCAACGGCGGCACCCTGTGCTCGCATCCGTGGGTCAGTAGGGCAGATCTGCAGGCGGCCACGGCGCCCTGCCCTGACGTTCGTGGGGCAGCAGAGGTGGAGCGGACGGTGGCGCCGGAAATCCTTGCTGGCATCCATGGGGCAGCAGAGGAGAGCGGCAAGCAGCGACAGCGGCCTGCGCTCGCGTCCTTGGGGCTGTAGAGGAGCGGACAGCGGCGGCTGAGTCCAGTGTTCGCGTCCATTGGGCAGCAGAAGAGGAGAGAATCGCGGCAACGTCGATTAGCGCTCGCGTCCATGGGGCAACAGCCAGCAGAGGAGGAGCGGCGGGCCGGTGGCGGGGATCCGCACTGGCGTCCGTGCGGCAGCAAAGGAGGACAGACAAATTGTGATTGTGAGGGCAGAGAAAATTACGGGATTGAAATCCCCTATCCCCGCTAATTGAGGACGAAGGGTTGCGGTGGGCAGTCTGCTCCGGCAGAACATTTCATCTGGATCGTTCATTTGTGTGGCAGACCCTTGATGACCGCTAGATGTGATTTAATTGGATTGATCGAACGCCTCTAGTAATCCTGTGTACACTTTGTGGTGTGTCTGTAGGGGAAATCATGTTTGCTCTTTTAATAATAGTATAGAATAATAGTATAGATATAGATTAGCCGCAGCCTATATAGGTGAATCCATGGAGGGTCATCATTGAATTGACTAGTTTTAAAAATAGTACTTTTTTTGCAGCTTAGCTCAATTTATGCATGGTTTCAGCTAATCAGCTTGGTTGCAAAAAAAAAGTTAAAAATACGTATGAATATACAGCCTAGAGTTGTAGGAGAGATAATATAATAGACTATATTATGGAATTTTCAAAGTATATATGCATTAAGGAGGGTGGAGTTAGGTCATTTTATTATTATCCAAATGGTACCTTCCGATTCTTGTCTGGAATCCTGCAAACGGAAAGTAAACCAGAGAAAACTTTTGCAAAATTTATAAAAAGAAATCCTGCAAACTTTGCAGGTGTCTGGACCACCACCACGTATGCAAAATTTTCTTATAGAATTTTCCTTTCTTTTTATAAGTTTTATCACTTAACTGAGACTCGAACTGAAATCTAGCCACACCCTTTTTAGAAAGCACTTCAACATTAATTTTTGGACATCATGAATACTTTGTTGAATTAACTTTTGCAATATTTTTCACTTTTCAAAAAAAGGTAAATACTTTTAGAATTAAATGACAAATACATTAAAGTTACTAGGAACGAGTATATCTATTATTCTATGGTTGTGATGGTATGCCGTGGTTTGGTTTGGTTTCATACACTTGTTGTTTTCATGTTAAGTATGTACAACATTATTCTTTGGACGGGAGGATCAGGTTAATTGTTGAGAATATCATTCTTTAGACGGGAGCATCGCGTTAATTCTGAAAAGTATCATTGAGCGTTGGATGAGATAGTTATGTTAATTATGAAGAATATCATTCTTTGGGAAGGAGAGTATCATTATTTGAACGGAATGATTGCGTTAATCATGGAAAGTATTATCGAGCATTGGACGGGAGGATCACTAGAATAGGTATGTCCCTGTTGCAGCGCACCCACAATAAGTGCCTAAATGACCGCTTATGGTGGGGTCATGAACATAAAGAATACTTGAACATTCATTTTAGAGGCCATCAACATATTTTTCCTAAAGTATATATGCACATTTTGCCTACGTTGTAAATATATTTGTGATTCTAGGAAGACATCTGTCGCGAGTAGCCCCAACATTTTAATCAATATGCACAATTAAATCGAACAAATCTTGAGAGTTGTACAATCAAATTAAGGAAACAAAAAAAACAATCATCACTTGCCTATGAAAATGGTTATTAATGTGAGTTTAAAAAAATGCTTATTGATGTTTTTTTTTCTTGTAGGCATTTTTACAATATATTCTTATTTTTACAGAATAAAACCATCTTTTTAGTATAAAAGTAAAATCAAATGACATACTATACGTTAGGGGCCACGTAATGACCTGCCAGGCGGCAAGCCGCATGTCGCCTGCAAATAGGCAACAGGCCAATACAAGCCCAAACAATTCAGCAAGCAAGCCGAATACAAGCCCAAATCGGGGTCCGGCCGCACGGCGCTATAATAAATTGCTCGTGCTTAAAGGAAAAAAAAATCAAAATCAATTGCTCGTCGTCTCGATCTGAGAGGTGCCCCGAATCCGACCTGTGCCAGCTATCCCGCCTGGGTTCTCCTCGAGGAGGATGCCCGCTACGACGACAGCGAGAACGCCACCACCGCGGAAGCCAGGACGAGGGCCGGCCACGTCGTCAGGATGACCTTCTTTCTCGCGGACCCGCCGGTCGTCTCCTACTTCTGCGTCCACGGCAGCCCCGAACTCAAGCGCGGGGACTACTCCCTTGAGCCCCGGGTGGTTTTCTCGGAGAAACACCTCGTCCTCCTCCGCTTCGCCATCGGCCCCCGTAGCACCGTGCACAACGGCAATCTCTCCGAATACTTCGCCTACAGGGCCAGCCATGACAAGCCTTCGCTTAGGCGGATCCCGACCGCCACTCGCCGGCCGGACAAGGCTAGATCGTATCCTGCCATCTTGCCGTTCGCCGACGACGATGACAACTTCCTCGTCGCCGATCTTGCCCTGACACCGACCTTGGGGGACTATGTCCTCCACACCTTCTCGTCCAAGACGAACAAGTGGATCGCCAAGCCGCTGCAGCTGCAGGCATCTCCGGCCGTGATCGGCGACCTGCCCAGCCTACCCCACAAGGTGATCGCGCTTGGAGCTGACACCATAGGCTGGATCGACCTCTGGCGAGGCATCGTCGTCTGCAACGTGTTCGACCCGGACCCCGTTCTCCGCTTCATCCCGCTGCCCAAGCCCGGGTTCAACTTGCTGCGGGAAGGTGACCCGCGGCCATGTCGTGACGTCGCCTTCCACGATGGTTTTATCAAGTTCGTCGAGGTGGAGCATTTCGAAAGACCCGCTAGTCCTGACAGCGACGACGAGACGAATTTCAAGACGACCGCTGATCTTGACGACGAAGATGTCATCAATGATTCGCAGCTCTACTTCAAGAACTATGGCCATCTAGTGGAAGATGAACCCAGTTATGTCTCTGATGGCTGGAAGATACGGACATGTCACAGGCATGCTTCTTGGGACCATTGGCGCAAGGGTCACAGCGTCCATGTCGACGACATCTCGGTCAACAACCCGATGCACCATATGGTGCTGCCTGGGCTGTGGGATGGTGGCGCGCGAAAATACACACTGAGGAGTCTGACGACAGTTTGCCCGACACTCACGATCCATGGTGGGGATGTTGTTTACCTTATTCCTATGGTGGAGGTTGGCAAGGGCTGCCTGCTTGGTGTCGACCTTGGCAGGAAGACGGTGGAATTAGTTGAACCATTTTCTGATGGGAGATTTGGTTTGCACCTTGCCCTTGCATGTACATTCTCCGGCTATCTCAATACAACTCCAAGGCATGTTTTTTCTTCTGACTTTGTTCGTCTATTTTCTGTTCCCTGAACGGCTGAACATATGTACACAGTGAAACGAATCTGTCAAACTAATTGTATGCTTTGCCCGACAGCATTTGACATCTTTGCTTTCTGATGCAGCTAGCTTCAACTAAGTGGAGTACCTGTTCCTTTGGTTTTCTTTTTCTTTAATCTACTAATCAGCACTGTACACTCTGTAGAGTTTTCTCGTACTAGTTTCTAGAGTTTTCTGTAACCTTATTTTGTAAGTCCCCCCTAGTGACTAGAGGGGGAACAGGGTACTAGATGAACCACTTTCCTTGGAAAAGACCAGAGGGTCAGCTCGTAGCAACCCAGCCAACTTTCCCTGAGATTTGCTCGTTTGCCTCTTTGTCTTCTGATCTACAAGCCGATTCTACTCATCCCCCTGCATCAGTTGGTATTCAGAGCCCAGGTTCGAGTCCATGGCGGGTGGTGGTCGGAGAAATCGGAGCCGAGCCGGGCGGCCGGCGGCGGCTCGGGTTGATGCCGCAGATCTGGACGAGGAGTCCGGAGACGGAGCTATTCCCAGGTACCGGATCCTGCAGGACGTCGATGCCAATTTGGTGGATCAGAACCAAGAGTTGAGACGGCAAGTTCAGGCCCTAGCGCAGCAAATGGCGGCCGTGCAGACGCAGATGGCTCAGATTGCTGTTGCTGTGCAACGGAGGGATATGCCAGAAGACCAGGGCAGTGAGGATGATTCGTCTGACAGCGACGGCTCTCCCGCAAGCTCCCTGAGGCGTCCTGAAGTTAACCCCTTTCAAGCCAGACAGCGACACGGACGGAATCGTGCTACTGCTGAGCGCGAGCACCGCAGGCGGCGCTGCTTTGGCGTTAAGTTGCCGGAGTTCTCGGGAGGGCTCTCTCCTGAGGATTTTATTGATTGGATAGATGAAGTTGAGCGTGTCTTTGAATATGCGGAGGTGCCAGAGGAGGAGCGTGTTCCTGCAGTTGCAATGCGACTGAAAGGGCGTGCATCTGTTTGGTGGAAAAATCTAGAGCAGAGTCGTAGAGTTCGGGGCAAGCGAAAGATTGATTCCTGGTTTGCCATGAAGGAGAAGATGCAGAGAGAGTTTCTTCCATTTAATTATGAAGAATCATTATTCAGGCAACTCCAAAATCTACGACAAGGCACAAAAAGTGTGGACGAGTATACAAATGAATTCTATCAACTAGTATCACGCAACAATTTGAGTGATTCCAAGAGTCAACTGGTGGCAAGGTATGTTGGTGGTTTACGTCAATCAATCCAAGATGTGTTGTCCTTGCATATGAATTTTACAGTGTCAGAGGCATACCAGCGAGCCATCGCTGTGGAAAAACAGCAACAACGACCAGTGCGCACAAACAACGCTCAGTTCCGACCACGATCTAATAATTCTGCACCAACAAGGGCGGCGAGCAGAAGCGACCCAGGGCCAACAAGATCTGCCCCATTGCCTAAAGGTGTCGGGGATAAGTCCAAGTCAGCAACAGCAAGAGGTACTTGTTTTAAATGTGGTTCTTCAGAACATTTACAAAGAGATTGCCCAAGGAACATCGGCAGGGATGGTAAAGGATTAGTAGGTGACTATGATGAAGAGACAGAGCATCAAGGTGAACCTACATATGATAATTATGATGATAATGATGAGGTTGAGCTGGATGGAGATACAGGGGACATGTTAGTAATGGAGCGAGCTTTGATGATACCTCCAAAAGACGAAGATTGGCGAAGACGGAGCTTGTTCCACACGCGCTGCACTATAGGTGGAAAAGTATGTCATGTTATTATTGATAATGGCAGCTGGGAAAATACTATATCAGAGGAGGCAGTAAATAAACTTGGGCTTAAGAAGGAAAATCATCCTTGTCCTTATAACATGCGCTGGTTCAAATCTGACAAGGTATCGAAGGTAAAATTTCGGTGTTTGGTGTCTTTCTCCGTTGGCAATAAATTCTTTGATGAGGTAGAATGTGATGTTGTTGATATGGATGTTAGCCACCTAATTCTGGGAAGACCTTGGCAGTATGACCGCCATGCTGTACATGATGGCCGTAAGCACACATATACTGTCATGAAAGATGGCCAAAAATTTGTGTTTAACCCAGTGAAAGAGGATGAGTTAGTCAAATCCAAGAGTTATGAATCATCATGCACCACAAGTCTCATATCTTGTAAGAAATTTATGCGTGAAGCAATAGAAGGAGGCGTATATCTGCTACTGCTTTCAGAGCAGAAGAGTGAAGTTGGCATACCAAAGGAGGCACATGACTTATTGGAAGAATTTTCACATGTCTTTCCAAAAGAGCTTCCTTCTGTATTACCTCCCATGCGAGACATTCAACATCAGATTGATTTAGTACCAGGAGCTAGTTTGCCAAATCGCCCGGCTTATCGAATGAATCCCCAAGAGTATGAGGAACTAAATCGTCAAGTGCAAGAACTATTAGATAAAGGTTTTATTCAACCTAGCCTAAGCCCATGTGCTGTCCCTGCACTCCTGACACCAAAAAAAGATGGTTCATGGCGCATGTGTGTTGATTCTCGAGCAATAAATAAGATAACGATTAAGTATCGATTTCCTATACCTCGACTCGATGATATGTTGGATAATTTAGCAGGGGCAGTGGTATTTTCAAAGATTGATCTCAAGAGTGGGTACCACCAATTAAGGATCCGTCCAGGAGATGAGTGGAAGACGGCTTTCAAGACAAGAGATGGGCTTGGTTAGTAATGCCTTTCGGTCTTTCTAATGCTCCAAGTACATTTATGAGGTTGATGAATCATGTATTACGACCTTTTATTGGAAAGTTTGTTGTCGTATATTTTGATGACATACTAGTATATAGCAGTAGCATGGAAGACCACCTGCAGCACTTGAGAGAAGTGTTATGCGCTTTACGGCGTGAGCAGTTGTATGCTAATCCAAAGAAGTGTGAGTTGTTGGTCTCTTCAGTCAATTTCTTGGGGTTTATTGTGTCTGGAAGAGGCTTACAAGTTGATCCAAGCAAGGTTGAAGCAATTCTTAGTTGGCCAGCTCCACGCACATTAACTGAAGCTCGTAGCTTTCATGGGCTTGCTTCTTTTTATAGACGCTTTATTCGCAACTTCAGCACAATCATGGCACCTTTCACTGATTGCATGAAACGAGGTGGAGCTTTTGTATTAACGGAAGAAGCGAGGCAAGCTTTCGAGGAGATTAAGGCCAAAGTGGCATCTACTGATTGTCTAGCCTTGCCGGATTTTAACAAGTTGTTTGAAGTGGATTGTGATGCATCAGGAAAAGGAATTGGTGCTGTTCTTAGTCAAGAATCTCGTCCTGTGTCTTTCTTCAGTGAGAAACTGACATGTGCACAACTACACTATTCAACTTATGAAGCTGAGTTGTATGCAGTGGTTCGAGCATTGCAACACTGGAGGCATTACCTACTACATCAAGAGTTTATTTTGTATAGTGATCATGAAGCACTAAAATACATCCGAAATCAGCCAAACCTGAACCGTAAACATGCACGGTGGGCAAGCTTTTTGGAAGAGTATAATTTTGTACTCAAGCACAAATCTGGAGCACAAAACAGGGTAGCTGATGCACTGAGCCGCAGAGCACAATGCCTAAGCATGATGAGGGTTCAAGTTGTTGGTTTTGACAGTATTCCGGAGCTCTATACTACTGATCCCTTTTTCAACAAGATTTATGAGGCTGCTCAAGAAAGAAACTCTGCTGAATATACCATCCATGAAGGATTTCTTTTTCGTGGGGTTCAACTCTGCATTCCAAACAGCTCTGTACGTGATCTGATCATAAAGGAGATTCACAATGAAGGGCATCGAGGCCGAGACAAATCTGTAGAACTATTGCTGAAACAGTATTTTTGGCCCCATGCTCGACGAGATATGGAAAGGTTCGTGAAGAGATGTCATGTCTGTCAAGTTTCAAAAGGTACAACTACGAATGCAGGTTTGTATATGCCCTTACCTGTACCTGATGCACCATGGATAGATATAAGTATGGATTTTGTTCTAGGTCTCCCACAAACACAGCGTCGAGTGGACTCCATCTTTGTCGTGGTAGACAGATTCAGCAAAATGGCGCACTTCATAGCCTGCCGCAAGACATCTGATGCTAGTCAAATTTCTGTTTTGTTCTTTCGAGAAATAGTGTGGTTGCATGGTGTGCCAAGGAGTATTACCTCTGACCGAGACACCAAGTTCATGTCTCATTTTTGGCGATCGTTGTGGAGACAAATGGGAACTACTTTGAATTTCAGCACGGCTTATCATCCACAGACGGACGGTCAAACTGAAGTGGTAAATAGAAGCTTAGGGAAGATGTTACGAGCTCTTGTAGGCGACAAGCCGAAACAATGGGACACAATTCTACCACATGCTGAGTTTGCCTTCAATAGAACACCGAATCGTTCTACTGGACTATGCCCCTTTGAGATAATTTATGGTAGAGTCCCCAACGGAGTTCTAGAACTAGCACCTATACCTGCCGTTGGAAAGAAAATTTTGAAAGCAGAGAATATGGTAGAAGAGATGGGCTCAATTTATAAACTTGTACATCAACGAATACAAGAAAGCAATGCTAAATATAAGGCTGCAGCTGACCAACACCGTCGTCAGGTCGTGTTTGGAGAAGGAGATTTGGTATGGGCTATCCTCACCAAAGATCGTTTTCCCGCTGGAGAATACAATAAGTTAAGCCAGAGAAAAATAGGACCGTGCAACGTGATAAAAAGGGTTAATAACAACGCGTATAAACTGGAGCTACCTAGCCATCTACGCACTTCTGATGTGTTCAATGTTAGGCATCTTGTGCCATATCATCAGGAAACATCTGAAGTTCAGGTTTAAACTCGAGGACGAGTTCTTTGCAGGCCTGGGGAGGATGATGCAGCTAGCTTCAACTAAGTGGAGTACCTGTTCCTTTGGTTTTCTTTTTCTTTAATCTACTAGTCAGCACTGTACACTCTGTAGAGTTTTCTCGTACTAGTTTCTAGAGTTCTCTGTAACCTTATTTT